TTGCTGACAGGCAAACCTGTTCGGCCCAGGTAAAAGTTAACAAAAATGTATTAATATGTATTTAAAATATTATATAAATGATCAAATCCAGCGATGTATTTCTGAAATTGAGTGTTTAGGTGTTGCCAGACTCTGATTGTTCATGAGATGTCTTTACTGAAGTTGCCATTTAAACAAGTTTGAAGGAAATCCTGACCTTTTATTATCACAACTAACTAACAAGTCTTCTCCCTCCTCCTAAAGTCGTTGGTCTCTCCTGTTGACGTGTTTCTGCAGAGCAGATGGTTTACACATAAATCCTATTAGCAACTTCCTGCTGATGGAGACACAGCGAGAACAGGCACCCCCACTCTTCTATCACCTCTGCTGAGGATTTTGATGCTTTTACATTCATTTCAAACCTTTGAAAAGAAGCAGCAGTGCGACTTAACCTGGAGGACAGGATATGTCTGCAGAGAAGGTAAACAATGGACTTTGTTTCATTTGTTATATTTGTCCTAAAATAACTAAAAGATCTTCGGTGGCCGTGTGCAGAGTCACCTTGGCACGTGGCTCTGCTCAATCATGCTTACTGTGACTAAACACGACTAAACAGTGAAATATAAAATAAAAAAAGAACTTGGATTGAAAAAAACTGCAAAAATTATTTGGAGTTCAGTAACATTCAAACCAAATTCAACTGACAAACTTTTATGTATCTGTTTTCTGTCATTTTGTCCCAAAATAGGAACAAGACCAAAAGGTTTTATGCATTACCTAAAATCACAACCACACATTAAGTGTGAGCAGATTCTTGCCTATGTGAAAGACCAGTAATAACTGACAGACATTGCTGACATAATTTAGCTGTTTGGTCAGAAATTGCATTTTCCAAATATCACAATAAACGACTTAATATAAGAGTGAGTTTGGATTCTCCTGTGGACACAAATAGTCAATCGAATGGATCTGCCTCTAATAGGATTACTTCCAGTGTTTCCACTGCTGTGGTCACTCTGACCTCATTCCCTAAAACATGTTGTACAGTTGGTTTAATGTTGAGCCATTTAACTGAAAATGACTGTGGGAAAGCATAAAATAGTATTGTTTTAATGAATTTAATTAAATCTGTATTTTCCGGGCCCCTTTTAATTTCTATCCATTTTTTTTAACTTTTCATTTTTTTCTCCCATTTATTTATTTTTTATTATTTTTTTTATTCTTCTTCTTTATAAAACTTTACCTGAAGTGTATCCAGGCATCTCAGTAAGTCAAAGTGCTTCATCACCAAGAACAGCTGCACATGATCTCAGTTTGCTGATAGAAAATAAACAAATGAGCTGAATCATTTAAAAGTTGAATATGGAACAATTTAATAAAAAGCTATATTTTTAAATAAATAATACCTCCACGAATTGTTTAGAAGTGTTCAGAGTGAAAGTTCAGCATTTCCTTTAAAAGTAACATTTTATTTAAAAAAAACGAATCAAATACTTATTTTGATGCCACGGCACTGGATTAATGTTTACATCTACCAGCCAATAGAGGGCACCATTGCGGGTTTGCAAAATATGGTAAAGAGATTCGCTCGGCACAGTGATGCAGCTGTGGAAAATGGCGGACTCTGCAAGTCAAGCAGCTGCTTCTGAGCCCAGAAGATGTTCTAACAGTAAATATTGTCGTAATGTAAACATATTAGAAGAAATTAGTCCTTACGCTGTACAGTTTGTCACCGGACATGGTGCTGGCTGGTCACCTCACGTATCGGCAGCAAACCTGGCCTCTTGACGACTGGAACCTTTGTTCTATTGTTGCAGCTACAACCTCCAGACACTAGATGTCGCTGTGGTGTTCGTGTTTCATATTCAACCTTTAACTGTAAAATTATAATTGTCAAATAAATGTCATGTTCTTCCTTAATCTTTTATTATTTTTCTGGCTCTTGCTTTTCTCTCACTTCGTTGTGGTGAGTGTTTGACACAGCATCAAATATATATTTCAAACTATTTACTTTTTTCTTTTTAATGCCTTTAATTAATGTGCAAATCTAAATATAAATTCTGTGCAAAAATTTAATTCACAGTAGCCAAAAAAGAAGAAACAACAGGCCAACAGTACATCTGAAACTAAGCCTAACGGAACCGAGGCCAAACCCAAAAAGACAAAGACCAAGAAGAACGAAGATGCAGCAGAAGAGAACAGCTCCACCATCCAAAGTGAGCAACTCTGAGCAGACTTTACCCCAAAATTGAACATTCTATACAGGAAAAAGACGTTTGATTTTATTATTTAACTCATTTTCAGATGGCAAAAAGGTAAAGAAAAAGATACCAGAAAAAGACAAAGAGGAACCAGAAAAAGAAAAGGAGAAAGAGCCAAAAAAGAAAGCCAAAAGTGCTCCGAAGAAGAAGAAAGGTAAGTCAAACTCTGATTCATGTGCCACTGAGGACACACCCGCTCCATGTAGCAGGACTTGGCTTGGTTTACTTTCACAGGTTGGGATTAGCTGTGCTTAGGTAGCATCTTTTTCATTAGAGGTGAATACTCAGTCACAAGCACAGGTATAACCTTCACTCTGATGTCAGCTGGACGTTTCATCTGTGAAAACCTTTGGTGCTGCATTTGAAATTCATTTGAACTAAAGTTTATTATAGGAAAATTTTCACTACAAAGTTGTTTTTCCTCCCTCCGGGCTCAGACACGGATGCTGACAATGATGACGACGATGAGGAGGATTCTCCCAAAGAAAAGTCAAAGAAGAAAACAACAAAAGACAGCTCTCCATCAGCGAGCTCTGCAAAAGAGAAAAAATCCAAATCTAAAGGTATGAAAATCTAAGAAATACTAAACCAGCAGGTATTCTAACTCACTAAGTGGAAGTAAATTCACTTATCTAACCCAGAGTATCTTTTTTTAAATCTTTTCTTATGTTAACAAGCAGTTCGATTCTATTTCCTTGTGCAATAAATACTTTTAAATAAGACCATTACACACCAATCAAGTTAGCTGAATCTGCTGAGACGTTTTGTTCCCAATCACAGCGTTAAATCAGACTACAGCACACCTCTAACGGTTACCAGTATAAATCCTATAGCTGTCTTTAATGTTGGAGGGAACCCAGAACGTTTTAGCTGTGAGGCAACTGCGATAAACTTCACACCTCTTCGCTGCCAAAGGCCTTCAAACAGCTGTTCTATCAGCAGACTGCAGGATTAGATGGTGTATGGAGTAATAATGTGTGAATGGAAACACTGAGCTGCAGCAAAAGCAACACAACATGCAGGTTAAAACTCGAATTTGGTGCAAAAGTTGGTTTTATTCAGTAATTCAATTTAAAAGGTTAAACTGATATAAGAGACAGACTCATTATGCAAAACCAGATATCTCAGCCTTTAACCCGGCAAACAGTCTCACGGACGTACAGATCATGTCTACCGTATATTAAGTCCGTTGGTCCAGGCCACGTCGGTAGGATGTCCAAACTAGATCTTTGCACTGTGGGAATTGTTATAATTGTTATGATTATGGCTTACAGCTGATGAAAACCCCACATTCAAACTCTCAGGCTATTATAATATTGTGAAAAGGTTCAATATTCTAGACCCAAAGGGCCCCACTCTAATCAGCTAATGAATCCAACAGACCTGCAAAGGGTTCCTGAGCCTTTAGATGGTCTCTCAGTCTAAGCTGGATTACATGACACAAATGGACTTTTGTCCACTCTCATTTCTCAACGTTCATCTGTATAACCGTTTAAGAGATAGTTCACACTTTCAACATAAACGTTTTTAACTATGAAGGAACTCCATACCCTACCTGATTATTTCTAATCTTTGCTGCTTTGTTTTTCTTTATTTTTTGCTTTTCCAATTAAAAACGTGATGATAATGGTTAAGGAGGTTAAAGGGAAGGAATAACGAGGCTTTCCAAGAGGATTCTGTGCTTTTGTTTCCATCCTCAGCCTCCACCTGAACACGAATCTTTTTAGCCGCTAACAACACTGTTTAGAATAGAATTGAATAAACCTTTATTATCCCATGAATGAGATATTGAAGTGTTACAGCCCTAATGGCAAAATGAATATAGATGAAGACAATACATAGCTCTACATACAAATAAGACAAATAAGATTTGTAGGTACAGAAAAATTATAAAAATGTACAGAGATGTGTACTTGGGTGTGGGGTGTGACACCAAGCTGCAAAATCATAACAGAAATTTAACAGATAAAATGTCAGTTAAACAGGTGATGCATCAATAATCAATACTAAACTTTGTTATTGAGTGTGACAGCTGCTGGTAGGAATGACTTGTGGTGTAGGAGTGCTTGTCCTCCCCAACCTGCTCGCTGGACTTCAGTGGGCAGTCCAGGACAACGCTGCCCCTCTTGACCGGTTTGTCCCTCTCTGCCATTCCCCCACACCAGCAGACCACAGCATAAAAGATAGCAGACACTGCCACAGTGTCATAGAAGGTCCATAAAAGAGACCTGTTCAACCCAAAAGACCTGTTTACTGATGCGATGATTGCGTTGTTAACCCAAGACAGAAATGAATATTAGATCTGTCTGATAATATTGAACAACGACAGTAGATGTCAGCTGCTTCCTCTCATTTGCTAAATATCCACCCGCTTTGAATGTCATCACCCCATTCATTGGCCCTTATCGCTTACCATCCCAGTTGAATGGCGTCGGCCATTGAATGGTGTGATAACATTCAAAGCGGGTGAAATATCTCATATTTATGCAGTTATGAAATAAACACATATAGTTCCCAAATAAAAGTAATAAAGTATTTCTTTTAAAACATAACTTTCCAAAATAATCAGAGCTGCATGGTTAAATTGCCTTCATCTAACACTTTTCCTTTTAAACACAACATACAACTTACATCATTCTTGTCCTTTTTACTGCTTATTGTTACCACAACGTTAACCCTCTAATACTAAATCTAAAGGGTGAGGAGTGACATCACTGAAATCATCGCTTTTATCTTGATGTCCCGCCACATTTTTGATCATTTCTATTACTTCTGGAACATTTTCAGAACGCTTGAACTTAGTTTCCCCTGGAGCCTCTCAGATCAACCATCAAACGTTTCAGAGAAGGTGTGCTAACTTGTTTTATGACTTTCTGCTCCTCCTTTAAAGGAAAGTGAAGCATTTTGCTAAAGTAACCCTGGAAAGAAGATTGTCTTCTAACTTGAGGGTTGAGCTATCTTTGGTATATCAGCTCTAACCTTTAATGAGTTGTATATTTTTATATTTATTATTTTAATTTAATGCAATAATCAAGATTTCATGCATCAAAGTTTACAATATGTATTCTTTAACGTATCTGATTTAATGAACACATTTTAAAAAGCAGCTGATAACTCACCTGTTCAAGCTGTGGGACCTTCATCACCACCTCTCCTTATTCTGTTCTTATTCCGCCTTTCCTGGGATCCACTCATTTCCCTCTTTCCTATTCACTTTCTCTTTCCCTTTCCCTACATTTTTGTTCTGCTTTTAAACAGACTGGAATTTTAAATCATTTTTTAAAATATTTTTATACTTTAATTCTTTTTGTTTTTGTTTTTGTGAAGCGCCTCATGATTTTTATCTTGAGAGGTGCTATATAAAAGATCGTCATTATCTTCTTCTTCTTTTTCTTCTTCAATTAAGAAAACATGTTTGCTTTTATTTTAGAAAATAAATAGACATAAATACTTTCTCTACTATTCAGATATACGTTCTATTTTTATTGCTTTTTAAACTGCTTCTTGGCTTTCCTTCAGTTTTATTGTCACAGTATTGCTTTTACCTGGAACCAGACATTTTTATTAGTTTACAAGAGTTTGAATTCACACTGTACTTTCAGTTCATCTGGCACTGTTGAATAAAGTGGATTGTGTTTTTTGCTGGTTAAATTTCTCATTAATCAGGACTGAAAATAGAGTGATGGAGGCTGGAATGTTGACTTAAAGTGACCAGATATATTTTTTCCTGGATACCTAACGTTTACAAGAAATACTAGTTCTGAGCTGATTGGTTAGTGCTGATTCCCAAAGTGCCTGACATCTTTAAAGGTGTGGGACACTCATTTAAACAGTACACTTGCAGTGGTCCGTAGAATGCCACATCAGAAGATAGCTTAACACGACAGGATTTGGAGTATTTCCTGATATTTGGACATCTATGCTTGGATTGGATAACTCCACCATCCACATCCACATCTCCAATAACGCAAGCCTGGAGGAGATCTGCTGTGAGGTGGAATTGCTAATGCTATTGGTTAGCTTCTACGAACAGAGACGTTCTCTGCGGTTTCCTCGATGCTAAGCCTACAGCAGGCTTCCCCTTCGTGAGTCAAGATGAGCGAGTCCATGAATGTTAAGTGACAGTGTGACATAGATCTGTCAGGATTTTCTAATCCTAGAGTTTCACCGTCTATTTTCTATCAGAAGCTAATGTAGGAGGTAGGTGTAGGAGACTAGTATTTTCACGTTCAGTCTGCATGAAAAACTCATAATTATTTTTTCTGTGTTCCACACATTTAAAATCAAACTGTCTTAATCTAAATTAATCTGATTTAGTCATAAAAGAGAGCCATGATAGGGTGGGTGTTGGGGGTTCCAGGGTGGGCCAGTGCCACCCTGACAAGATCCTTGGACCGTAACACCCCCCCCCCCCCACCCCCACCCCCCCACCCCGCAAAATACCAAATTGACCCAAATACAGGACAAGGTTTTTTTTTTTTTTCATTGAAAATAGTTTTAAAATGTGGAGTCGTCTCATAACAGGGGCCTGAGCATTCACACACGCTATTTGTCTGGGGTCGTTACACGCCCGTAACAGCAGAGGGCGCCAGGCTGTATGTTCTCAACAAGAGAAGGAAAATGGAGATGAGAGGTCCGGAGCAGAGTGGACCAAAAGAGGGGCTACTATGGCAGAGTTATGCAAATTTTAAGATGACAGTAGTCAATTCAGCAAAGGTGTCAAACATGGCACGCATGGAAGCCTCGGATTGCAGTGAAGATGACGTTCAATGGGAGGAGCCGTCAGGTGTAGCGATGTGATGGTACCGGTACCGCAGCAGCATGTGAGTGAGTACAGCGAGGCAGAGGACAACTGTGAATAAATGCCTCATTTGACTTTTGATCTCACATGTCATCAAAGTTTGCATTAAAATAGTATTTTGTTTAGTATTTGTTCTCAAATTTTCAATAAAAATAGTTTATTTCAAAAGTGATTTTTTATTTTTATTTTTATTTTTTTGTCTTTTCCTGAAGATCAGTCTTGGAAAGAAGGCCATCTTACAATCGGGGTCATCCTATATTTGGGTCAATACGGTAGTTATATTTTGCAAAATATTGAACCGCTGTTGTAACTAAAGTAACTATTGCCGTTATTTGAAGTCACACATGGTTGTATTTCATTTTTGATATGTTTTCTTACAGATGCACCTCTTTAACAGAGTAGATGGCCCCAGCCTGGGCCCCCTCTAATGTTAGTTTAGAACCACCCTGCTGCCATGGTCATTTAACATTCTTGCCGTGTTTTGTCCTCAGTGTTGGTTTGACATTTTAGGTATTCACATATCAGTGACGTAGGGTTAGGAAGTGACCATTGTACTAGAACACAAAGCTGTGTGTGTGTGTGTGTGTGTGTGTGTGTGTGTGTGTGTGTGTGTGTGTGTGTGTGTGTGTGTGTGTGTGTGTGTGTGTGTGTGTGTGTGTGTGTGTGTCATATTTCCTGATTTTTGTTTTCAAAGTTGAGATCACAACAGGCATGCACAAGCTATTTTATTTAGGTAATTAAATTTTGGGACTCTCCTCAAGGAAGTAAAACACTTTCTTTGGTTAAAATTCAACAAAGAAAATTAACCCAAGACCATCAATATTATGTGTTTTAGCTCCAGCACGACATCTAGTGGTCAGACTGTATATGAAGATTAGAGGAAAGCTACAATCTCAAATTACCAGCTCATAGTTACACTAAACAAATTAAAGTAGATTAAAGAAAAACTATTAACTGAAAAACTTTATGTCCTTACATTCTTTTTTTTTTGTTCAAATCATGCAGGCACCACCTTCACCTGAGAGCTTTTAAGGATTCATTTGTCAGATTTGTGCGTATGAACATGTTGGAACAGATTCATGATTGTGGAACAGGTTTTAGGAGCCAGTGTTGCATCTCGGGTGTAATCGAGGTTTAAGGACATAACTCACTCCGGGCACCAGTCGCCTAAACTTGTGCAGAAAGCTGCTTCACTGGCGAATGTTATTACAGATTACATATTATTAAATGAAAAGAAAATGTTTGAGATTGAGCAAATTCCAGTTTAGGTATGAATTCTTGCAGCATTCCTAAACTGTCAGAATATGAAAAAACAGCTGGAGGAAGCAGTGAGAGCAGATGTTTAAGCTGAGCACATATAAAATCAAGAATGCATGCTCAGCATTCGTTCTGCTCCTTCACATCTGTCCCCCGCTTGAAATGTTATTGGTTGATTAGTTACAGTTTAGATTAGTTCTTCACAAATGCACTCCCCAACATAAAGAAATACACCTTTTCTAGTGATTACACATCATATTGTTTTGTTTTTTCATCGTCAAGGAAAAGCATTTTCTTTTTGTTGCAGAAGACAAAAATTCCGATGGAAAAGAGAAAAAATCCAAGTCAAAAGAAAAGGAGAAGAAGAAAGAACCAGCTTCAATGTTCATGATAAGTGGAGACAAAGAACCTAAAAGCAAAAAGAAAGGTTTGATATTTTAATTAAAATCTTGGTATATTATTGATAAATTGTGTTTGTGCATTCGACCAAAGACGAGTTGTGTCCTCATGGGAATAAAGCTGAATCAAAGGTCACACAGACGTGCAGGGTTGAACTGATTATCTGACTTCTGAGCAGCTGCCAAATCAGAGAGCGACGACAGCGAGGAAGAGAAAAAGTCAACTAAATCAAAAAAGAAGTCCACTGCTGGCTCTGCGTCCATGTTTCAGGCATCAACAGATAAAGACAAAGACAAGAAGACAAAGAAAAAAGGTGTGTTCCTTACAAATGCTTCCATTCAAGTCTGTGTGACAAGTGCTTGAATTGTGTTTTTGGTTCCAGGAAAGGCAGAGGACGATGATGAATCAGAATCAGAAAAAGAGGAAAAGTCTAAGAAGAAGAAAGGGAAAGGAAAGAAGAAAAAGGTAGGCACGAGTGACATGAAAATACCCCGTCAAGCTCAGGGATACCCGCGCAGATAGAATTTTTTATTCACTGTCTTGAATCAGGAGAGATCTCCCTCACCTGAGATTGAATTCGACAATCTGGAGAAGTTTGTTCTGCAGCCGGCTTCGCAGGGCGTGACTGTCAAATGCAGAGTGACTCGGGACCAGAGAGGGGTGGACAAGAGCCTTTACCCCCTGTACTACCTCCATCTTGACAACGAAAAAAAGGTCAGGTCATTAGATTACTTATTTATTTATTTATTGGGGTTCTAGAGAGTTGTCTGGGATTAGAAATTCAGTCAGAATAAATCTGGTATACGCTGTACAGGTGAAACCCAAACATGAGAAAAAGGTTCAAAAGTTAAATTATGTCAGTAATTCTACCTAAAAGGTGAAACTAGTATATAAGACTGACTCATCGCATGCAAAGCCAGATATTTCAGCCTTTATTTGATATAATTGTGATGATTATGCTTGCGGCTGAAAACCCAACATTCAAAATCTCAGACAATTAAAGGCTCAATATTGTAGACCCAAAGTGTCACACTCTAAGCAGCTAATGAATCCAAAACACCTGCAAAGGGTTCCTGAGCCTTTAAATTGTCTCTCAGTCTAAGCTGGATTACTGACATTAATGGACTATTGCACCTTATTCTCATTTTTTGAGTTTTACATGTAAATTTACATGAAGGAACTCCTAAATTGGAGTTTTGATCATAGAACCTTAAAGCTGCAGTATGTAAGAATGAAGTGAGAATGACATTCTGTGGTCAAATTTGGTAACTGCAGTCCATTTCTCTAAACAAAAAGTGGCTCTCGCTGCCATTCCATGAGTTTCATCGCTGTTGCCAGTTACATATACACACCAGATAATTCTAGATGGCAAGCAGGGACGAGTTATACACAATAATACATTGCCATATCTGGTGTTAGCACTCTTGGGTGTTTTATGGTAAGGAGCCCTTACTACACTTGTTACAGTAGTAAGACTATGGCATTAGATGAGTTAGCTGTTTTTCTTGTTAGCTTGCAGTTATGATTCTGAACGACTCCTTAAAGAAAGTAAAATGCCACGATTGACTCCTTATTCAGTTCTCACATACATTTCACTGTAATATTGAGTTGTTGTTAATTTAAAAAAAAGCTTGAGATATTTTTAGAGCCAACTATTTGCTGCTAATTCACTTTTAGCATTGTTAACTCAAAAGGCCTTATTTTCCTGATATTAGAGTAAAACAAAAAAGATGCCATGGCTTTTTAGGGGGTATAAGAAACAACTTCTGGGTTGTTCCTGTTTACTGGCTTTGGTTCTTTAACTCATTCACTGCCAGACGTTTCCTGATCCGTAAAGCCCTTCACTGCCAGCGTTTTTACTGTTTTTTTAAGAGTCACTGAACGGTGCGCGCTAGTACGATGTCGACGCCAAAACAACCAAAACAAAGAGTAGACTCACATCTTACATCAGGGAGAATCCGCGCGTTTCGAGCGTTATCCATTCTTTCATAATCCGTTGCCAAAATGTGACTGGCAGGGGCTTTTCCGGTTCGCGCCTCACTTTTTTTTACAGCAGCGGCCCAAAACGACCTCCTAACACATGGATTTTCTGCTTCCTGATCACATGACGTGTGACGTACGTGGATGAAGATCGGCTTTAGAGCTGGGATGTTTGTTCACATGGTGCGGCGGCTTGTTCCGGCTCCCACACAGTAAAAAAATGCAAATGATAACTTGAGTCGTCAATGGCAGTGAACGGTTGGATTTCAAATGACGACTTGAGTCGTCAATGGCAGTGAATGAGTTGAACAACTCCGGAGCTTTTGCCGGCTGGTGTCGAATTACAAATGCCGACGCTTCAGTGTTCATTCAGTGCAGCCTTGGCACCCTTACAGGCTCACAGATTGTAAACAGCGACTATGTCCTTTGGTTGTTTTTGAAAGGAGAAAAACTTCAAACCTCCCAGCTGAGTATGAAATCCGTTTTTGTTTAGTGATTATTTCACTGTAGAAATCCTACATATTGCTCCTTTAAAATTGAACTGTATTTATTAACATGGAAACACAACAGCATTTAGCTTGCTTATTACCTTCTTTCTTACAATCTAACATCAGTTTGTTTTACTTTTCATTACTGTAGACGTTCCTGCTGGCCGGCAGAAAGAGAAAGAAAAGCACAACATCCAATTACCTGATCTCAGTTGATGCCACTGACCTATCACGAGGTGGTGAGAACTTCGTAGGAAAGTTGAGGTTCGTGAATAAAAATATGTCTTATGAAGTGTTTTTCTGCAGATTTAATTCACCATTTTTTTTTTTACTTTACTCAGGTCAAATTTAATGGGAACAAAGTTCACCGTGTTTGATAATGCTCTGAATCCAGAAAGAGCTCTTCCAGACATGTCTAACGCACGGCAGGAGTTAGCAGGCATCATTTATGTGAGATTTTTCACAGCTCAAACGCTACTGGGGTCTTTTCTGGAATATTATGTAATTTAAACAAGTTTTTGTTTCTTGACTCAGGAGACAAATGTTTTAGGAATGAAAGGACCCAGAAGGATGACAGTCATCATTCCAGGAATGGACAAGGACAACGAAAGAGTCCCACTCAGGCCTAGAAATGTAAGATATAACACAGGGCAGAAAAGCAACATTTAGCCAATGTTTTTAGGACTTAGTTCCTAAAATTGGCTTCTTTGTGTTTCTAAATTAAGGGAAATGAACATGTTTTTGTTTGCACATATGCACAACTCAAGTAAGTTATTGTTTTTAGCAAAACACAATCTGACTCACAGAAAAAATAAGTTTTAGCCCTTTACAACAGAAGCCCAGTGCCAACCATCTAACCATCCTCTCTTAGTTTGATTCATGACTTGTTTATTAAGAAAGCTTCAGAAGACCAGTGGGTATAATCATATTACTCTTTTGTTTGTTGACACTGACTGAATTATATTTCATCGTTTGTCCACAGGAATGTGACGGCTTGTTGGTGAGGTACCAGAATAGAAGGACGGAAAATCTGATAGAGCTCCACAACAAGACGCCTGTGTGGAACGAAGAGACAGCCTCTCATGTGCTGAACTTCAACGGCAGAGTGACCCAGGCCTCCGTCAAGAACTTCCAAATAGTGCACAACAAGGACTGTGAGTACTCCTCACCCCACCTGCCTTCGCCTGTAGGCCCTCCTGTCAGTGGCGTCCCCAAGAGGAGACCAGTGCTCTTAAATAAATCGTATAAATGCTCACAAAAACCATAAATTCCTCTTATTTAATCAAGACAGAAAAGTAAAACCCAATAAAAAATTATACCAATAATGAGTAAATAAGCAATGGGCAAATTCAATTGTTCTAAAATTTAAAAATAAATATTGAAACCAAAGTTCAAATAACTATTTGAAATGTATTTTTCTAACACTTTCTGTTTCCTAGAAAGGTAGGTAGGTGTATAGGATGCATACTGTGTTATAAATGTGTGCAATACATCCCACAGGCTAAACTACCACAAGGATCACCCCAAAATTTGCTCTGGCGCTCTCTATGAAACAGTGGGGGCGCCACTGTCTCCTGATTGTTTGCAACTTAATGTTGATGCATAGGAAATTAATTGTTTTGAAGTTTACTAAGAAAGTACACAGAGATCCGCAAGTTGGATTTGTTTTAGCGTTGTCATCTTTTCACATGCCCCAAAACAACCTGTTGAAGCAATCCTCTCCTCTTCTTCTCTAGTGGACTACATTGTGATGCAGTTTGGGAGAATAGCGGATGACATTTTCACCCTGGACTATAACTACCCCCTGTGTGCCGTGCAGGCTTTTGCCATTGCCCTCTCCAGCTTTGATGGCAAAATTGCTTGTGAATAAAGCAAGCACCATGAGCTGTCTCACCCTGAAACCAGCAGAAGCACATCGGAGCAGTACGTGACCCTGGGCTGCTCTCTGAGATTTGTGACGACAACAAGCTTGTTCCTCGTGTGCTGCTTGCTGCTCTCCCTCCCGCCTTTTATTGACTTCCTCCTCCAGGTGTAACAAACACATTTACAGCACTCTATCTGATCGAGCGTGATGCAGCCAGGAGAGTTTAGTTTTGTGGAGACTTTGGGATGAAGCAGAAGACTTCATGTTGTACGATTTCACACTAATTAAAGGTGTTTTTGTGTCATCGTGTTCCTGTCAAGTACATCTTCGGTGTATTGTGTGATGTTTTCTTTATAGTCAAACTTTTTAACGTGAATATGTAGAAATGTGCTGCTGTTTTAGGTGTTACAGAAGAAGTGTTACCTTTTATTGTTTTTAATTCTGTTCCATTTTAGAGATCCCTTATCTAATTTGAATTTGTATAAGTTTTTTTTATATATTCTGGTAAAAATTTTTTATAAACTTCTTCTCATTTCTTGAAATTTGCCTCACACTCTGATTGTAATATTTGAGAATTAGCTTTCCTTGATGTCAGTCTCTGTTGCTCCCGAGCCTACGCCTCTTTACCCTTAGATTTTGGGATCCGTTAGAAACTTTATTTGTGTTTGGACTATTTGCTGTAAGCAGGTCGCTGGCATATCTTAAGACAAATTCCAGTTGCAGATTTTAGAGACACCCTCCCACGCTGTTCTTCGGTGGTTGCTCGACATGTCGAGCGCTTCGCTCAGGATGAAAAACCTGTTTGTACCAAGGGCCTGGAGCAGAAGTGAGAGGTGTGTATTCTGCCTGAACAGGTTCAGGCAGTTGTCCAAACTCGCAAATTAAATGGAGCCTGAAGCTGGAAGCTCCTCTTCAGCAGATGCTGCTGTGAGGTTATGAGGTTACGCCCCTAGTTTTAGTTACCTACAGCTAAACAACTGCTCAGTTAATTGTTTATTAAAAACAATGTGCAATTGGTAGACATTTAAATAATCACAGAATGTTGCAACCACATTGTTGACGAACAGAAGGAGCTGTTGCTGGATGAATATTGAGCTGATTTTATCAGAAAATAAAAGCTTTTCCATTTTTCATAAATCTTATAATATACAGATAAATTATTATAGATCTCATATTTTTCTTTTTAAAATTCTTCAGAGTACACAGACCAAAATATTATCTATCCATTCTCCTCTGTTTATCCGGGGTCAGGTCATGGGGGCAGCAGCCGAGGTCCAGACTTCCCTCTCCCCAGCCACTTTGGTCAGGTCCTCTGGGAAAATCCCAAGGCGTTCCCTGGCCAGCCAAGAGACATAGTCCCTCCAGCATGTCCTGGGTCTTCTTTTAGGTCGCCTCCAGGTTGGACGTGCCCGGAGAACCTCACCAGGGAGGCATTCAGGAGGCATCCTAAGCAGACGCCTGAGCCACCTCAGCTGGCTCCTCTTGAGGAGCAGTGGATCTACTCCAAGGCCCTCCCGGATGACCAAAATTCTCGCCCTCTCTAAGGGAGAGCCCAGCCAACCTGCAGAGAAAACTAATTTTGGCCGCTTGTATCCGCAATCTCGTTCTTTCAGTCACTGCCCAAAGCTTGTGACCATAGCTGAGGACACAATCGTAGATCGACGGTAAATCAAGAGCTTCTCCTTCCAACTCAGCTCTGTCTTCACCACAACAGATCGGTACAACGTCCGCATCACTGCTGGCGCAGCACCTGTCCGACTACTGATCTTTCGCTCTAACTTTCCCTCACTCGTAAACAAGACCCAGAGATACTTGAAACTCCTCCACTTGGGGCAGGACCTCATCCCTGACCCAGAGAAGGCATTCTACTCTTTTCCGACTCAAGACCATGGTCTCAGATTTAGAGGAGCTGAAATTCCCATTTCACCCTCCATGGGTGGTCTCATCCTTCCAAGCTCGCATCCTCTACCACAGGCCTGGGAGCTTGAGGGTTCTGCAGTATCTTAGCTGTTCCTAGATCTGCACTTTTCTGGACTGAGATGTCTGATGTTTTTCCTGGGATCTGCTTTAGCCACTCCTCCAGTCTGGGGGTTACTGCCCCGAGTGCTCCGATGACCACGAGCATCACCGACATCTTCACTCTCCAGGCTTTCTCAAGTTCTTCTTTGAGGCCCTGGTACTTCTTTGGTTTCTCATGTTCCTTTTTCCTGATGTTGCCATCACTTGCCATTGCTCCATCCACCACAGCAGCTGCCCTCTGCTGTTTGTCCACCGCCTCACTGTCCGGTTGGTTCACCATCACCATTTTGTTTGTCTGGATCTGGAAGTCCCAATAGGCTAGAGGAACAGTTTCACCTGAATAAAAGCATGCTTGGGTAGATACTAGATTTTATGAGCAACAGAACACAGAAGGTCAGAGTGAATAGTGCCCTGTCGGATAAGAAAAATGTGTCTACCGGATCACCCCAGGGCTGTGTTTTGTCCCCCTTGTTGTATATTTTATACACTAACATGTGCCGAAGCAAACATGAAAGAAGGACAATTATTAAATATGCTGATGATTCAGTAGTAGTAAGTCTCCCGAGAGAAGGGGAATACAGCCATGGACCTGTTCTTGAGGATTTTATCTCTTGGTGTGACGAATCATATCTACAACTTAATGTAATTAAAACAAAAGATACGATCATCGATTTTAGAAGGAAGCCACAACAACAGCATGCTCTTTCCATAATTAAAGGTCAAACTATTGAGCAAATGAAATCTTCTAAATATTTGGGGACAATTATTGATAGGGAGCTGAATTTTGAGGAAAACTGTGATGCAGTGGGTAAGAAAGGCCAGCAACGTTTGTACTGCCTTAGAAAACTGGCCTCATTCCATGTGGACAGGACTACAATGTCCATGTTTTATTGTTCTTTTATTGAAAGTGTTTTATCCATTTCCTTAGCCCCATGGTTTGGCCAGGCAAATCTTAAGCAAAAGGAAACACTAAACAGGATAGTAAAGTGGTCGGGTCGTCTGCTTGGAAAACCAGGGGAAAGTGTGGCACAGCTGTACAGTGGACAGGTAGAGAGGATTGCTAAAGCTATTGTTAGGGACACGGGACACCCACTGCATGGCCGGTTTACTCTCCTGCCATTTGGATGGAGATTTATTGTGCCAAGGTGCAGGACCAAGAGGTGCAAAACAAGCTTAGAACTGAGTCTGGCGTGGCTATTTTATTTTATTTTATTTACTTATTGTTTATTCTTCATTGATGTGTGTGCTTTGTGGCTGTGTGTATCTGTGTGTAACCTGGGCGCTAAATCTTGTGTCACATGGCAAATCAAATTTACCTGTGGGTATTAATAAAGTTACCTTGACCCTGACCTTTATAAATAAATAAAAAAAAAAAAAAAATATATATATATATATATATATATATATATATATATATATATATATATATATATATATATATATATATATATATATAATCACCCCGGGTCACAAGGGCAGCATCCCAACTAGGGAGCTCCAGACCGTCCTCTCCCCGGCCTTCTCCACCAGCTCCTCCGGCAGGACCCCAAGGCGTTCCCGGACCAGATTGGAGATGTAACCTCTCCAACATGTCCTGGGTCGAGCCGGGGGCCTCCTGTCGGCAGGACATGCCCGATACACCTCCCCAGGGAGGCGTCCAGGAGGCATCCTGACCAGATGCCCAAACCACCTCAGCTGACTCCTTTCGATCCAGAGGAGCAGCGGTTCTACTCCGAGTCCCTCCCGAATGTTCAAGCTCCTCACCCTATCTCTAAGGCTGAGCCCGGCCACCCTACGGAGGAAACTCATTTTGGCCGCTTGTATTCACAATCTCGTTCTTTCGGTCATTACCCAAAGCTCATGACCATAGGTGAGGATTGGGACGTAGATCGACCGGTAAATCGAGAGCCTGGCTTTCTGGCTCAGCTCCCTCTTCACCACGACAGATCGGCCCAGCGTCCGCATCACTGCAGATGCCGAACCAATCCGCCTGTCGATCTCCCGATCCCTCCTACCATCACTCGTGATCAAGACCCCGAGATACTTAAACTCCTCCACTTGAGGTAGGACCTCTCTCCCGACCCGGAGTTATATACATACATACCAGTGTAGTGAAGTGGGTTGTCCAGTAATCGGAAGGTTGTAGAATCAATCATGGCTCAGACCAGATGCTGTTGTTGTGTCCTTGGGCAACCGGCCTAACCCATTCTTGCTGGTGGTGGTCGGAGGGACTGGTGGCGTCAGTATTCAGCATTCTTTTGTCAGTGCAGCCCCGGGCAGTTGTGACTACGATGTAGCTCATCACCACCAACGTGAGAATAGGTGGATGACTGTTGTGAAGTGCCTTGCGAAGTTGCAGAATCCTAGAAGGTACTGTACAATTACAAGCCATTTTACAACATAGAACTCCTACATACATGTCTGGATTTAAATATATGTGTTTTTGTTTTGTTTTCTGTAACTTTAATATTTGTTAACTATATTCATTCTGGATCTAACCCTTTTTAACATTGCTTTCAGTAAACAAATGAGAAAAATGACGAATGTCCTTGTACAAATACTGAGCCATGTGTTGCATCAATGGCTCTAATGCATTCTGTTGTAAGATCAAGATTTTTTCACCTGTTACAAAAAATACATGAACAAAATCTGATACTGACCAGAAGACACATATTTTCTTTTACTTTCATTCATCAGGATTCGGTCTGTAGTTTGGTCTACTTTAGGTTTTGCGTTTGCTGTCATGAACGTCTGAAAAGTAGTTTTCTTTGGAAGTGACTTATAGCATAAATAAGTTCAAATAGAAAACATGTGTTATTTAAGAAAATAACACAAAAATGCAGGGGGATTTTAAGTAAACAAACATGAGAAAAGTTTAGATTGTAGGTATAATAAACACAATCCTTACATTTTCTACTATTCCGTAGATACAGTGTTGCTTGCCAATTCGTTTTTATAAAATTACTTCATTACATAATGATGTTTTGTTTTTCAGATAGAAATAATAATAATAATAATAATAATAATAATAATAATAATAATAATAATAATAATAATAATAATGTCAGTTTTAGGTTTGTGTCGTGTTTATCAGTATTCGTGTATTTTATTATGACGTTTGCTACTTTTTGTAAAAATTCAAAACTGTCGAAGAGGACAGCCCTGCAGCTCTGTGTGAGGTTTTTCAGACCGGAAGCTCCGGTGTTCTGTCATGAGTGGGCGGGGCTATTAGAGAAGTCCCCGCCCCTCGGACTTGTTGATTGACGCGCACCGGTGGCTCCTCCTTGAAAAGTCTTTCTTTCCCCTCCCCCTTCGTTTTCCAGTGTAGTGCGTTGATTTCATACCAAAGTCATACTTAACATTCCACTTATACTGTCAAACCTCTGAGAAATATTACGGGAAACAACAAGGCGCCAATTTATTACCAAGTTATTAAAAAGCGCAGTCCGGCTGCCTGAGAGGAATAAGGAGGCTGACAGAATTAATAATAAATTTTAAAAAAGGTAAGTTATCCTCAAGTTTCCTCTTTCTGTTCGCAGCAAAGCTGTTTCATGCCGCTTGACTCGGTGAAGTTTTCAGATCATTGTCATTTTTCACATTTTTGCGTGGAGCTGCCTGCGTTGGGAGGGAAGAAAAAATATGTGGAGATTGATACGCGATTGTGTTCGACTTTCCCAGAGAGCAGGGAAATCTGACAGGATCTGAACAACCTTATTCCCACCTCAAGTCCGCTCACTGACGCGAAATCACCCAAGAAAGGAGGAGAAAGTTTCTGTTGTGACCCAGAAGGACCGAGTCACTATGTGTGTTTTCTGTCCCGGACAGCTCTCAGCTGGACCCAGCTGCTCCAAGGAGCCCGACAAGTCCACCAACTGGTCCAGAGAGACGCCGGAACCATCCGGACGAATTTGGACTGGTTTGGACTTTTGCATCCAGAGAGGTAAGGAGTTCCTCAGCAGTCAGGGCAGATCTCCTCTCGGTTCATCAGCGCGAGCTCAAAGTTTCAGTTGAATTCAAAACTCTCAAATTTAAACAAACTATAAAAAAATAAACATTTCTGAGCTCAAGTTTTAAGCAGCTTTATTTGTTGTGTTTTCAAAAAATTCAGTAATAAAGTTGCCAAATTTCATTATTTCTTTTCTTAATTGAAACCAGACTTAAAGTATTTTAAGTTGATTTCTGAGTTTTTTTACACACAAAGTTATTTTAAATGTAATTTAATGCACTCGTACAGCAAATTATATGATGTTTAATTTAAATGTGATTGTTTTATAACAGCTGATTTACAAAAAAGCGTATTTAACTTATCCATCTAAAAGGATCTGAACACGTGGGAGCTACATTTCTACACACTAACTTTTAATTTTAACCTAAAGTGTTTGTTTTAATGATCACATCTCATATTGATTTCTTAGAAAAAAGCTAAATGTTGAAAGTAGCTGAAAAAAAAATCTAAATGTGGAAGAAACACTTTGCCTATAGAGGAAATAACTACATTTATCATAAATGACAATATATTAAAGCTAATAGCCCAATGCTTTTAAAAAGCATTAATTAATCTATCATTTGGTTCTAATTTTATTATATAAGCATCATAAATAAATGATTATCTAATGTTTTAGGGTTTTAGCTAGCCTTCTTTTTCTGCCAACAAATGGGGGATGTGATGATGCGCTGCAAAGTCCCACTAAGTACATAACTCATAGGTGGGGATTTGAGATGCGTCGCAGGCTAATTGTATAATTAGACGCTCTCGACCTGGGGCTACACCTGCTCTCGTCCCGTACGCTCCGTCTTTAGACTTTCCGACAGTTTTTAACCTCGCTCAAAAAAAGTAAAAAGGCAGCATTCCAAATTCATGTGATCACAGTAGCTGCACAGTTGCATCATCGACAGGCAACAGGTCTAACAAAGCAGCAGAATGCAGTCCATCCAGTTGGTCCCAGATGGCGGAAAAACACTACTAACTCCTAATCTGCCGTCTCTCTGATGATTTGAATTTGAAACTGCATATTCTCATGTTGCATTTTTAACCCTTTTGAATAAAAGTGAAGCCCTGCTGCAGTCGCTGTGCCTGTTTTTCATCTGTGTGGCTGAACATTAGCATACAACAGGACTGTGATGTGGTCTTTGGAGCACCGATTTGTGTTTTGGTCTCAACTCAGATAAACAGAATGATTAGATGGCTCCCATCAGGTCATGATTGAAATACAAATTTGACTGCTTCAGCTCCTTGATTAACCCGTAAAAATACCAATAACCACTCACTGGTAACAACAGATTTGATTTAGATGGATAAATCTGGAAAGGATAAAGGATTCTGCTGCCCAGACAGATTTCCCGTCTTTGTTTTGAAGCAGCGTGAATCGATCAGGCCTCTCAGCGTACAATGTGGTCTTTTCTTTTCTGTTCCTCAGTTTCTGTGGATTCTGAGTGTTTGCGTAGAGAGGGAAGGTTTTACAGCTCTACTCGTGTCACAGAGGTCACTTGGATTATTTGGGTTGGAATCACCTCAAAGTGGCTGTTGTCTGTTTTTATGCCCCCAGCTGTGTTCCTTCTGGGAGCTAAAAGGCTTCCTTATACCTAAAACCTAAAAACATGTCGTAACTATGGACCGGGATGTCATTTGCAAACTGTGTGTGTGTTTACCTGCGCAGGAGTGCATCATCTATTTGTGCTGCATTGTGTTTGCTTTGGATGCGGGTCTGTCGACCGTTTGTCAGTAGCTGCTTCACCCGTTTGTGTTAAACCCACAGAAGAGCAGCTAATGAGCTTCTTTTTAGCACCATCCCCAGAAGTTCTCGTCCAAATGGTGAACACTTATCCCCTCTTTCTCTGCCTCTCGCTTCCGAGCCAGACCTGAACAAATACAGATTCCCTCGCGTCTCTGGACACGGAGACCTCAGAGGACAGCCTGCAGCTGTCAGCAGAAGGGTGTAAATGGTGATCTGGAGCACAGCACGCAGCTAGACCAGTCGGACGAATCAGATTCAGGAACTAAGTTGCATTAATTGGCTAACAAACGCAAACAAAAGTGATCAATTTCAACCAAAAGCGACCAAATCACAAACTTCACTCTTTGTATTCAGATTTGTGCACTGCTCCTGTTTACTTATAGTCCAAGTCATCAGGTTCTGAACAGATAAGCTTTTCTGGCCTCCTTGTTCGGACCACTCAGGGGAGGAGCTGGGGAGTGGCCTAGAACAGTGTGCTCTTTGTGTCAGTTGTCCACAAACTTGTTAAATGTTTTAGTTGTTCTTGCTATGTTGGGCCGACTGCTAGGAGTTATGTTCCATGTTCTCCAGACGGGCAGAGTGCACGCAGAAGGAGATGCCTTTGAAGGTGTGCGCTGGTGTCTGCTGCCACCTCATTACTGATAACAGGAGGCCGGCTCCCACAGCAGGCCTGCTTCGTTTCAGACGTTTTCGTACGTTTGGCCTGCGTGTCGTCCTGGAGCTCCAGTGACCCAAGAGCTCTCGTGTGAAACTCCTCTAGTCCCTCTGCACAGGGTGTTTTAGGCTGTGGAATGGTCTTCTGCAGCTCAGCGCTTATTTGTTTCAGCCGTCTTCAGACGGATCTGTTTTCGTTTCATGCAAACAACAAACGATCAGCAGTGCAACAAGTTCAGCCTACTTGGTTTGTTCTCGTGAAATTCCTCTGCCTATGACCCCGATCAAAGTGATGGCTGCTTTCGCTGCCTTGTGGGACGATTAATGCAGTTTGGAGAGTTACTGGCTGGTGTGTTCTGCTGAATGTCTCGAAGGTTTCACAGATTAGGGCCTCAGACCGCTCCCCTCGCCACAAAATGACCAACTCAGGCTCGAATGGCTTCTCCGAGACGTTCCTTGGAAAATTTCCGATTAGAATGCTGATTCAGACTGTGGAAGAAAAAGAGACACCCAGGCTCAGTTTGTCAGTCTTTCCCTTTTCAGCTAGATTCAAGCGTGACTGTCTGACAGTGAAGCTGTTGACCACAGGGCAGAAGGCCCTACTACTAGGACTGAATAATCAGTGAATATACTGATGTTCTCGCTCGGGCTTGATCTGTGATGCTCGTTTGGCCCTCCAATCCTTAGAGTGGCTTTGCCTTCCACACGGTGTCTAGTGTTTAGAAGAATAATAAATATGAGCGAATTTTTAAAGGGAAAACTAAAAACACATACTGTAAGTCTGCCTTATCCAGCTCAGATTGGTTCCACAGTCTCAGACGTTATTCAGAGGGTTATTGTTTTCCTTAGGCTTGCAGCTGGTATCAGACTGCAAATGTTTGACTTGACAAGAGGTGCATATGCTGTGTGTGTGTGTGTGAGTGTGTGTGTGCGTGTGTGTGTGTGTGTGTCAGATTTTCCCTCTGCCTCTTGCCGTGTGAGTTGCTGGCTGTCCAGCACTCCTCTTACTCTCAGCTCTGATTGTTTCCTGAGTGCCGTGCCAGATAGGAAGTAGGAGGAAGTTATTGGAGGAGCTGGAGAGAATTTATTAGGGCCATGCACAGACGCAGGAGGGAAAGAGAAGGGTAATGACTCTTTTGGAGATGGGGTTTGTGCTTTCATGACTCTCACAAAGGCCGTGGTGTCAGTACTAAACAGCTGACACTCTCATGCCAGCTCTTTACCTTTGAGTGTTGTCTCCTAATTGAAGAAACATGCCAACGTGAAACATGTCGTTTTTGGTTTTTTGGGGTGAAAATGCTTAACCATGCAGTCTTGGTCAGGAGGAATACGGCTGTTGTCGGAGAGCAGCTTCCTGGCCTGGGACCTAAAATGTTTTCTTTATCTGTAATCTGACCTTGGAGAGCAGCTGCTCCTTCTGCTGCCAGGACCTGTTGTTTCCCCCTTTCAAGCGTACGTTTGTGTGGAGGGGTCTCACCGTGATGAAGAGCACTGGGTAGATCCGCGAGACCCCCTCAACCGCTCGGAGACATGCAGCTGTCATGTAGGGGAGTTTTGGTTTGTTTCTTTGTCGAAACTTTAAGTTTGGATGTATTTAGCTCCCATCTGGGGGGGGGGGGGGGGTGTCTGGGCTGCCAGCAAGGATCTGGTCTTTGCCAAGAGGTTTCCCAAGTCTTAAGGCAACTAAACAAGGCTTGGATTTCTAAAGACAGGAACAAATCGTGTAGTGTGCTGGTTAGCAAACAGAAGGAGGAATATACGGCCTGACTGGAGAAAGCACACAAAATGCATGATAGATCTGGGTTCAAAACACAGATTTAAAGAAAATCTAACAGTTACTTGGTTAACATGGTGGTTGATTGAAAGCCGCTCCTCTTTTTAAGTGCTATAGAAGAGGAAAATGATCAGTCAACACAAGATAAAGTCTTAACTTTGGTATTTGACCCATTGCTAACTCAAATCAGCGCCTTGGGCTACCCGACAGGGTTGCGGAAGGCGCTATATAAATAAAACTTTGATTGATTGTTTGATTGAAATCAGCCCATTAGTAATACTGGATAGCTTTATGGATTAGCACTATTTGAATCTTACAACAAGTGAACTGAAACTGTGCTTCTATTAACGAACATCCGTCCCTTCGCTGCAATCGCTTCAGTCTGACTCATCATCGCACACCTTCAGTTTGTGTTAGGGTTGACATTCTGCCAGTTTCACCACTTGTCCTGAAAATTGAAAACTGATGAAAAAGCATCCTCCATCTGAAGTTTGAGTATTCAGGTAAAGGTTTTGGAGTTGCCAAACAAGAAAAGTCAGTGCTCTCTGAAGTCACGAACAGCTCGATGTGTTCTCCGCTATCAAAGAGAAAACGGACAGGTCTGTTTGTTTGTTTGTTTTTGCTGTTTGGTATTTATTGCATTTTCCATGAGCTCATGTTTTAATGCATCTGAAACGGGATGAGTTGGCATCATTAAAGTTTTGCCCACTGCTGTGCAGCCAAAGTTTCAACATTGAAGTTTAAAAGCTACCTGTCGTAGGTGGACTAAACCCCTCT